CCCGGGTTATGTTACTATAATATTACAATACAACAATTTTAGAAGCTGCATTTGTTTTCAACATCTCTACCAATTTATAAAAACTTGATATAAAGCAAAGGTTGTTTTATATCTAGATTTGGGATATATAGGATAATTTTACATAAAAGTGCTTTATTGTAAACCGATTTTATACGTAGAGCGTGACCTACCGTCGCCATACATGTAAACAAACATAATACTAAACTGAAGCGTCCTTCAACAGAAAGTGAAAATATTTATAATAATAAATATGACACAACCTCAGCATAAATATTTTACATTTTACAGCGGGAGGTGCATTTATGTGGCAGCGGCACTCACCATATGAGTGAACATTCTATATTACAAACACTGCAGTTCTCAATGATCCGCCATTGGTGTGATAAGCTCGGCTTCCTATGTATAATGATTGAAACTATCTGCTCACCTATTTGTGGCTGCAGGGATTGATTCTCAGATCTTGGCCACGCCTCTTAGCTTGTTACTCCTCAGATTCACTCTCTCTTAGCCTCGTGGGCCTTATCGTACCTGATCTTAAAATAATTTGATCCAATTCCCGACAACTCTGAGGCCAAAGAAATACTTCCTAACATCCCTGTAGCTCATCTGTGACTCAAACTTCGAAAAGTGTCCCCGAGTTCCTGTTTCCTCGCCTCTCAAACATCCTATCCTGTGTACCTTATCAATTCCCTTGAGTATTTTGTATGTTGCTATCGTGTCCTCCTGGTTCTTGTCCTCTAATGTCGGTTTAATTACGTTAGCATCTCGTAACTCGTGTGTCTTAGCACAAGAAAAAGAATTGTCGTATACTTTTGCACTTTATCCAGTTTCTTAACATACTTTTTCAAGTACGGGTTCCATACTGGTACTGCATAATCCAAGAAGGACGGCCTAATGTATGTTATACAAAGGACCCAGAAATATTCTTCGTTTAGATTCCTGAATGATTGTCCTGGATTTGCCAGACGTGCAATGGCTGCAGAGGTCATTCAGCTGATGTGAACCTTTGGTGTTATACTGGGAACTATGCTCACCCTCAGGTCTTTCGCTTTTCCCCGTTTCCGGTCTTCTTTCTCCTTCCTCAGTCTTCATGACTACTGGGTTAGGTTAGGTAAGGTTCTTCAGGAAACAGGACAAATATTTCCTGACGCGAATCTTAGTCAGATGATGACCCCGCCTTTGGAGCTTTGATCATCTGACCGAGGCCTTCCGCTGGCTTACCGGTCCACCCTTCAAAAATAATGATCATTTATAACCAATTGATTTAGATTCATGACTACTGGGGATGAATTCGATCACCCACTTATCATGCAGTTGATCCAGATCCCTTCGGAGCTATTCCCTGTCCCCATCTGTTTTGCTTCTCATTGCTGTATAGCCCTTGTGGCTTAGCGCTTCAAATTCAAAGTTTATTCTCTATAAGGATTACAATGCTGAGTTTACAGAAATTTGGTTATTGTGTGGTTTACATGTAGTAAAATAGTGATTACAGAGTGTACCACTAGAACGCTTGGCATGGCTAGGCATTTCGGGCAGACTTAGTTTTATTCTTAATTGTAAAATATTACAAATTATGAGGTAAGTTGGTATTATGGCTAAGTGACTAAATACTAGTTTGTGAGTTTAGCAATGTAAATGCTTTTGTTTTGGCACAGTACATAGTTTCAGTATTGGAGTATCACAGGATTCATTATTTTAAGATTGAGATTAATATTTCTGTTTATGGTCAAATGAGTGAGTGAGTGTAAGTGTGAACCACCAGGTGGTATTCGTGTAGTTAGTTGACGGGGTGCATCAGGGAGATAAGATGTTTTCTAATGGTAGTTTTGAAGGTGATGAATGTGTCTGCAGTTCTAGAGTTCTCAGGTAGGGTATTCCAGATTTTAGGGCCTTTGACATACATTGAATTTTTGTAAAGGTTTAGTCGGACACGGGGAATGATTACAAAGGTACATAATGGGTCCAGTGACTGGACCCCAAAGTTATGATAGCTGAACTAGTTACAAAGGTAATGAACTCCAGGTAGATCTGGTCACTAATCATGGCAAGTTACAGAGGTAATGAATCAGCTTCACTCCTATACATGGTTACAGTCATGAACAAATTACAAAGTAATGAACCACTGATACGTCCACACCTGGTCACAATTGTAATGAGTTATAAATACAAATATTAAGTGGATCATACACCCACACTAGCGCGCGCGCGCACATACACACACGAGGGGGCACGCACGGACATGTGCCGTAGAGATGTTTGTGTCTGGTGTTATGCCTGTGGGTTCTGTCACAACTATCAAGAAAGCATTTTAGGTCAAGGTTGATATTAGAGTTTAAGGCCCTGTAGATGTAGATTGCACAGTAGTAAGTAGTAGTATAATAATAATGCTTCTCATTAATTTTACATCATCAGCAAAGACATATCTGAATAAATCCAATCAGGAATGTCGTTCACATAAGCCGGAAACAGTACTGTTCCTAATACCAATCCTTGCGGAACCCTGCTAGTTATTCTTCCCCATTTTGACATCTCTTTCCTTTCAAGTATATATGGTACCTCACCGGACTACGCTCCCTGTCACTCCAAGAAACACGCATGACACCAGAATTTGCATGACAGTGTCATTCACCTAGCCGGGCTGCGGCTCATACGTCGGTTTAAGTGCTGTCAACAGTAACAGCCTGGTTGATCAGGCCCAGATCCACCGTGAGGCATGGTCACAGACCGGGCTGCGGGGGCGTTGACCCCTGAAACCTCCTCCAGGTATACTCCAGGCAAAATTCCCCATGACCGGCATAAATTTATTGCTCGTAACTGCTTGTTATATTTCTTATGAATATTCCTCTGTCGAGACCTTTAAAAATTTCTTCTGACTAATATTCAAAATTCTTCATAACTGCCTAAACATACGTTCAGATCTTCTGGCACTTTAAACTCAACTAATTACTATACTACTACTACTACTACTACTACTACTACTACTACTACTACTACTGCTACTGCTACTATACTACTACTACAACTACTACTCTACTACTACTCTACTACTACTTACTACTAACTATCTACTACTATAACTACTCTACTCTACTACTAACTACTTATACTACTACTACTACTACTACTGCTACTACTACTACTACTGCTACTACTACTACTACTACTGCTACTACTACTACTACTGCTACTACTACTACTGCTGCTACTACTACTACTACTACTGCTACTACTACTACTACTACTACTGCTACTACTACTACTACTACTGCTACTACTACTACTACTACTACTGCTACTACTACTACTATCTATACTACTACTACTACTACTACTACTGCTACTACTACTACTACTGCTACTACTCTACTACTACTGCTACTACTACTACTCTACTACTACTGCTACTACTCTACTACTACTACTAACTGCTACTACTATCTACTACTATGCTACTACTACTACTACTACTGCTCTACTACTACTACTCTACTACTACTCTACTCTATACTACTGCTACTACTACTACTACTACTACTGCTACTGCTACTACTACTACTACTGCTACTACTACTACTACTGCTACTACTACTACTACTGCTACTACTACTACTGCTACTTACTACTACTACTACTGTCTACTTACTACTACTACTACTACTACTACTACTACTACTACTACTACTACTACTCTACTACTACTGCTACTACTACTACTACTATGCTACTACTACTACTACTACTACTGTCTACTACTACTACTACTACTACTACTACTCTACTACTACTACTACTACTCTCACTACTACTCTATACTACTACTACTGCTCTACTACTACTACTACTGCTACTACTACTACTACTGTCTACTATATATACTACTGCTACTACTACTACTACTGACTACTACTACTACTACTACTACTACTACTACTACTCTACTACTACTACTACTACTACTACTACTACTACTACTACTACTACTGCTACTACTACTACTACTGACTACTACTACTACTACTACTACTACTGCTACTACTACCTACTACTCTACTACTACTCTACTAGCTACTACTACTACTTAACTACTACTAGACTACTACTACTACACTATACTACTACTACTACTACTACTACTAACTATACTGCTATACTACTACTACTACGCTGACTCTACTACTACTACTACTAACTGCTACTACTACTACTACTACCTACTACTACTACTACTCTACTACTACTACTATATAATACACATACACTAATATAATAATAATAATAAAATAATTTATTATTATTATCACACTGGCCGATTCCCACCAAGGCAGGGTGGCCCGAAAAAGAAAAACTTTCACCATCATTCACTCCATCACTGTCTTGCCAGAAGGGTGCTTTAAACTACAGTTTTTAAACTTCAACATTAACACCCCTCCTTCAGAGTGCAGGCACTGTACTTCCCATCTCCAGGACTCAAGTCCGGCCTGCCGGTTTCCCTGAATCCCTTCATAAATGTTACTTTGCTCACACTCCAACAGCACGTCAAGTATTAATAATAGTAATAATACCTGGAGGTTTCGGGGGTCAACGCCCCCGCGGCCCGGTATGTGACCAGACCTCGTGGTGGATCAGGGTTTGATCAACCAGGCTGTTAGTACTGGCCTCACTCAAACTGACGTACGAACCACAGCCCGGCTGGTCAGGTACCGACTTTAGGTGCCTGTCCATCACCTTCGTGAAGACAGCCAGGGGTCTATTGGTAATTCCCCTTATGTATGCTGGGAGGCAGTGTTGTCTCTCAGTGTATTCGTGACGTCCCTTATTTTCATTGGGGGAATGTTGCATCTCTTGCCTGGAGTTTACCTGGAGAGAGTTCCGGGGGTCAACGCCCCCGCGGCCCGGTCTGTGACCACGCCTCCTGGTGGATCAGAGCCTGATCAACCAGGCTGTTACTGCTGGCTGCACGCAAACCAACGTACGAGCCA